ACCCCCACAGCGCCCAGCCCCGCAGCAGCAGCAGCATCTCGGCTCCCCCGCCGCCTTCACTCTCTCGGCCCCACGCGGAGCAACTGCGGAAGGTCCGGGATGCGTCGGAGAGCGCATGCGCCCAAAGGCCGGCCTCCGAGAGGAGCCGCACGACCGGCACCTGGAAGCGAACGAAGAGAAGGAGCCGAGGCTTTGCCGCCCCCTGCTGCCTGGAGGATTCCCGGATTTCGCTGTAAGGGAGGCTCTGTACCACCGCTTTGGACCACAATACCCAGAAAAGGCAGCCCGGAAGGGAGGAGAGTTTGCCTTGTTCCCTAGGGCTAAGGAATTCTGGGACTTGCAGTCCAAAAGAGCCTCCGAGCACAACTTTTAAGAAGCCGTTCGTTACAGTTGTGCGTCTAAGGCCCCTGAAAACAGTTTGCTGCTACTGTATATGTCTGTGGGGAGGAGCTTTCCTGTTTCTTGACAGGAACCAGAAACTCAGCTTTTCAATTTTTTCCCCACTAAAAATCTTAACTTGACGAGCCACTGGCATGAGAAGAAAGTGCGCCCTCCTCTTGCTCATCATCTTCTCAGCTCCACACACACAAGAGAACGAGGTGGAGCACAGCCAGCTCTTGAACCATTTTGATATTCCTGCTCCTCCGTTTATGAAATAGAAGTAATTAAAATAGGCAAAAACTGTAAAGTGTTTTTTTTTTTCATCAAGTTGTAATTGGAACTTTTCCTTTGCTACCGGAAACAGGAATTAACTATAAATAATTATTTGCAAACGTGTTCTTTCTATGTGCTGTCAAGTTGCTTCCAACTTTAGGTGGTCCTGTGAATGGGCGATTTCCAAAAGGTTCTCCTCTCCTCAGCAGCTCCTGTGGATTCCTTTTAGGGCAGGGGGTTCCTATCTCGGATGTTGTTGACCCCCTTATGTTTTCTGGAGGGTTGCCATATTTAGTTTTAGTTACAGTTCACTTTATGTTTAGTATATTAAACAATGGTGTTTAATTTTAATCCTCTTGACCCACAGATGCAGAAATTTAATTTGAACCAGGACAGCAGACAACCTAAAGTTCATACAGTTATTTCTCTACTCCTTTGGGTGGATTTTCCCTTTTACGCACCTGCATGACGTCTCCCCCTCGCCCGAAAGAGTGGCTCTCACTCATTTCTCTCAGCTCCTCTGCAGCCACCTTTGCAGGACTGATGTCAGCCCTTTGCTCCGGAGTATTAGCTCAAAGAGGCCTGAATAAAGTGAGTGTGCAGTGTGTGCTGGAAATGCTGGTGCCAAAACTAACAAGTTGTTGGTGCCATAGTAGTGGGGCCTTTCGCTGTACCTGCTTCCCACATACAGTGGACCCTTGACTTACAGACTTTTTGAGTTACAGACTTCTCTGGCCGCAAAATTCAGATTTGACTTGCAGACTGAGATTTGACTTACAGACCAGAAAAAAAAACCGAAATGGAACAAAAACGGCCTGTTACGGGATTAATCGGTTTTCAATGCACTGTAGGTCATTGGAGACTTGACTTACAGACTTTTTGACTTGAGAACCGCCTTCCAATACGGATTAAGTTCTCAAGTCAAGACCCCACTGTACCTGTTATCTCCCATTCTGCCAGTTGTGGCAAGGGCAACACAGGGAAGGGAGAGGGGACCTGGGCAGGGAGAGGCCTCTGGGCCCTGCCTGCATTGTGGAGGAGGAAAGCAAGAGGGGCAAAAAGGTGAAAGAGGGGGCCGTGGGGGAGGTGTTTATTTGAGCTTCAGGGGGAGGGGTCTTCATTGACAGGGCTTTTTTTGGGGGGGGGGATGAAGGGAGGACTGTTTCCACACCCAAAAAGGTAATTAAACACAAAGTGTACTGATATTTTCCCCTTCTCATTTATCTATAAGGGCAACACAGGGAAGGGAGAGGGGACCTGGGCAGGGAGAGGCCTCTGGGCCCTGCCTGCATTGTGGAGGAGGAAAGCAAGAGGGGCAAAAAGGTGAAAGAGGGGGCCGTGGGGGAGGTGTTTATTTGAGCTTCAGGGGGAGGGGTCTTCATTGACAGGGCTTTTTTTGGGGGGGGAGATGAAGGGAGGACTGTTTCCATACCCAAAAAGGTAATTAAACACAAATTGTACTGATATTTTTCCCTTCTCATTTATCTAGTAAAGAAGGATTTACAGCTCCCACATTATTCTGTATTACGTATATCATTAATATAATACAGTATCAATATATAGAATCAGATATTCAGCCTAAAACTGTAAGTTGAGCCCATTGTTGTGTGTCCTGCACTCGGAGATAATGGAGAACAGATTCTGCCCCTCCTTCTCTATGACACCCTTTCAAGGACTTGAAAAGTGCTATCGTATCTCCCCTCCCTCAGTCTTTTTTTCTCATGGCTAAACATGCCCAATTCTTTCAGCCTTTCCTCCTAAGGCTTGGTTTCCAGCCACCTGATCATCCTTGTTGCCCTCCTCTGAACTTGTTCCAATTTGTCAGTATCCTTCTTGTAGTGTGGTGTCCAGAACTGGACACAGTACTCAAGGTGAGGTCTTACCAGTGTTGAATAGAAGGAGACTGTTTGTTTGTCCGTCCATCCGTTCAATTTGTATCCTGCTCCCATTAGTATCACAGCACTACTCTGTGTGGGTTACAACATGCAAAACAAAAGAAAAAAAATAATAGAAATATTAAAACCAACAGCAATGACCCTTAAAAAAACAGATGCCATGAGCAGACTAATCCCAGAGCAGATGGAGGAAAAGAGGGGAGGGAAGAAGAGAAGGGGAAAGAAAAAGCTGGGAGAAGGTGGTCAGCTGGGGTCGGTGTGGAAAGCTTCCCTGAGAAACAATGTCTTTAATTGCTTCCTAAAAAGTCCACAGGGAGGAGGCTAGGCGGGGCTTCTCCGGAAGCTGGTTCCATAAAGATGGAGCCACCACGAAGAAGGACCTACCTCTTGTAGCGGATTTATGGGCCTTCCTTGGGGTGTCCACCCGGAGGAGCCTCGACTGGGATGATCTTGTGGGTCGGCCAGATGACATTAAGGAAAGACGTTCCAACAAGTAACATGGACCTAAACCTTGAAGGGCTTTGTGAATGTCAAAACCTTGAATTTGATCTGGGATGCCACAAGCATCCAGTGGAGGTGAGCCAGAACTGGAGTGATGTGATCAAATTTACTTGCACCAACCACCAGTATGGCTGCTGAATTCTGGATGCACTGAAGTCTCCAAATCAGGTTCAAGGGGAGCTCCACGTAGAGGACATTGCCGTTCTAGATCTGGAAGATAATCAGGGCCTGCACCAAAGTCCTGAAGGGGTCCTTGCCTAGGTAGGGGCAAAGTTGGGCAATTAGCCTAAGCTAGTTAAAGACTGATCTGGACATGGTTGCAATCTGGAACTCCCAAGAAAGAGCCAGGTCCAGAAGAACCCCCAAATTATGCAATTGCTCCTTAAACTAGAGGGGAGTACCATCCATCCTAGGCACCATCTCCCCTAACCTATTGGAGATTCCCCCCAGAGTTGAACCCCTGTTCCGGGTTGAGTTTGAGCCTGTTAACCCTGATCCATTCCAGTACTGCAACCAGGCAACATTCCAGCATCTGGAAGGCATCCACTGAAGAGATGATAATGGAGACAGAGCTGCGTGTCATCAGCGTACTGATGCCACCTTACTCCGAAACTCCTGATGACCTACCCCAACAGCTTAACATAGATGTTAAAGAGCATTGGGGATAGAGCTGATTCCTGAGGAACCCCATACTGTACTGAAGGGTCCAAGGTGTCGACACCTCCTCCCTAGCAAACTCTCTGGACGCTGTCCTTCAGGAAGGATCAAAGCCAGCTCAATGCTAAGCCCCCAATCCCAACCTCAGAGAGCCTGTCCAGGAGGATGCCATGATTGACGGTATCAAAAGCTGCTGAGAGATCTAGGAGTACCAACAGGGTGCATCTGCCCCTGTCAGCCTCCCTTAAAAGGTCATCCTGCAGTGCAACCAGTGTCATCTCAGTATCCCATCGCACCTGAATCCAGACTGGAATGGATCAAAGCAGTCCTCCTCCTCCAGGTAGTGCCTTGCAGGATTTGGAGACTAGACCTCTGTTAATGCAACCTAAAATAGCATTTGCCTTTTTTGTAGCCACATTGCACTGTTGACTCGTATTCAGATTTTGATTTACAACAATTCCAATATTCTTCTTATTCATAGTGTTCCTGAGCCGTATACTCCAGCTTGTAACTGTGTGTTTTGTCCCATGCCCACATGTATAGAGCTTTGCAGTTATCCCTGTCTAATTTCATTCTCTTGTTTTCAGCCCAATACTCAAGCCTATTGAGATCTTTTTGAATTTTGTTCCTGTCTTCCAAGGTTCCTGTCTTCTACCCAATTTCGTGTCATCTTCAGATTTGATAAGTATTTCCTGCGCTCCCTAATCCAAGTTGTTAGGAAAAATGTTAAAGAACATTGGGCCTAGATATCAGCCTTGTGGTACCCCACTTGCGACTTTCTCCTAGTTTGAGAAGGAGCCACTGATAAACACTTTCTTATATATGAAAAACATTATTCAAATGTGTTTACCCTATTAAAATGCCTTTTTATGCAGATGTTGCAGTGGGTTGCAAGTTAACATAATAAAGCGGGGAGAATGAGAGCTGTTTAATAGAATCATAGAATAGTGGATTTGGAAGGGGCCTATAAGGCGATTGAGTCCAACCCACTGTTCAGTCCATGAATCCAAATCAAAAATAGATCTAACAGATAGTTGTCCAATTTTCTCTTGAATTCCTCCAGTATTGGAGTGCTCACCACCTCCCAATGTACTTGATTCCATTGTTGTTACAATGTTTTTCTTCATATTCAGCCTAAATCTGGCTTCCTGTAGCTTGATTCCATTATTACGTGACATAATTTAACCTTGAATTTTATTGGGCTTTAGCCTGAGATAAACAACTTTGTAATTGCAGTTGTTAATATTTAAGGGTCAAACAGAGATGATCCTAGGATTTTTCATTACTTGATCCTGAGTGTGAAAGATATTGAAATAGCATTTTGCCTTTGGCTGCAGTTCTTGTTCTCAGCCCTCTGTGCTCAAGATATCTTCATATATATCAAACCTTGCTTGCCACCACAGCATAGTGAAAAGAGGATGTCACGAGGAGGGGGCAGAAGGATTTATGCTGCAGTAGGCTACAGTGCTGGAGGAGACTCTTGAGAGTCCCCTGGACTGCAAGGAGATCAAACCTAGCCATTATGAAGGAAATCAACCCTGAGTGCTCACTGGAAGGACAGATCCTGAAGCTGAGGCTCCAGTACTTTGGCCATCTCATGAGAAGAGGAGTCTCCCTGGAAAAGACCCTGATGTTAGGAAAGTGTGAAGGCAAGAGGAGAAGGGGCCGACAGGGGATGAGATGGATGGACAGTGTCATCGAAGCTACCAACATGAATTTCCAACTCCGGGAGGCAGTGGAAGACAGGAGGGCCTGGCGTGCTCTGGTCCATGGGGTCATGAAGAGTCGGACACAACTAAACGACTAAACAACAACAACAACATGCAAGTACCTAGAAAACAATAGCACAAGACTAGAACCCAACATGGATTTGTCAAGAATCAGAGGGAATGCTGGACAGAGGGAATGCTGTAGATATAGTACCATATATTTCTCTGTATAAGAAGATACTTTTCTCTAAAATCTTTAGATTAAGAATTGAGGTTTGTACATGGAAGTAAGCAGGGGGAGGGATCAAAGCACTTTCATATCTGCTTTCTTCCTCCACCTTTTCTTAAGAAAGTGGAGGGGGAAAAGCGTTTTCCTCGCAATAAAGTAAAGGGGGAAAGCAGGAATCATCAAAGCACTTTGATGATTCCTACTTTCCCCCTCCACTTTCCTGCAAAGAAAGAAAAGTGGGGGCGTGCATCTTATACATGGGGGCATCTTCTACACGGAAAAATATGGTATATCTTGATGTCATCGAAGCTTTTAACAAAGTGCCAAAATACATTTTGATTACCAGGCTAACTAGATGTGGGCTGGATATAACAACTGTAAGGTGGATACACAGTTGGTTCCAGAATCATACTCAGAAGGTAATGATTAATCACTCCTTTTCAAACTGGGAGGAGCTAACAAGTGAGGTACCCCATGGCTCAGACCTGGGT